AGAGCACTGAGTTTTATGACTATTATATCGTCATGTTCCCCTTCTCTATACAAATTTACGCCACTGCTTTATGTAGTATAGGCATGGGCGTCGCCAGGGAAAAGCACATTTCCCCCCGAAATACCTGTACTTTTCCAGCATATTCTCGAGTTATCATTTTCGAGGGTGGGCAGGGACATTTCCTCCCAACCCCCCAACCCCCTCCCCAATGCAATTAACACTAAAAGGGCCGGGTCTCCCAGCCGGGGGGAGCGGAGATCGCGGCGATCGAGTGTCTAAAAATTGTGAAACTCGGTATATGCATAGAGCAACTCATCGTGAACATATACCCAAAAAATTACATGACTATAGGTCAACGGGTTTTTGAATTATGACCAATTAATTATTCATATGCCCAAATGGTAGTTGTGCTCTGTGTACACGACGTACAATGGGAAAGTTCAGTCTCCACCGTGCGTATAACGCCTGGGAAAATTTTTCTGTGCGCGGCAACCCGTGGTCCGTTTTTTATGTTTTTGGTATCAAAAGATGCGCAAGGCTCAAAGCTAAAAAGTCACAACAGCTTTCTTTTGCTTTTCCGGGGGGGGGGGGGCCGGATGTCCGTGCTCCCGGGTACCCCCCCTGCCATTTGAAATCTTGAAATGAAAAAAAAAAATTGTACACCGACCTGTCGAAATGAGCACTTGGACTATATACATGTACACATAGATAGGCCTTTATCAGTCCAAAAACGAGAAAGGAAAGCCGCAGTTTTTCAAGTGTCCCCTGTGTGCACCCCCAGGTTCCCCCAGATGTTTAACCCCAGTTACGCCCCTGCCCCCTTGCCCCCCCCCCCTCGCGACGCCCATAGGTTGTACAAGGGCTCTGCCTAGAACGTCACTATATGAACATGACGGAGTTTGTAAACAAATGTTTGTTGTAGTGGTCGTTCGTTATAGTGATTGCGAATTATAATACACATTAATACACGTATTTTGGGAACCAATTAAAGGGAATGTTCGTTGTAGCCACATAACTGTTATAGCGGTGTTCGTTGTAGTGGCGTTTTACCGTTTTGTCGGATAATTCGAAATTTGTCAGTAGGTCCAGGCCTATATAATAACATAACTAATCATGAGGGTAACTTTTTGATGACGTTTGAACTTCTAGAGTAAAAAAATTCTGGGCCATTATACGAAGCATGGGGAGTGGAATTTTTCAAAAACTGGTCATACGATGATGGGTGGTTGTAGTTACAAGTAATACACTTATTTATTGCCATAATTTCAAGACACACACAACAATCCCAACATCCGTACACATTGTTTACAGTGAGAATCATTCTAATCATGAGCAATTTCCGAGAGCCTTTACAATTACGTACATAGAGAGTATAAGTCACGATAACCAACAAGCAAATAAAAGGTAAAGTCTCATCATAAAAAATGCAAACAGTATTGGTTATCAAATGCGATTTTTTTTTGTCTAAGACATCTTGGTCTAAGAAATAAGGCACTGAGGCAACGGCTGTATCCTTCTATCACATCTTGAAAAAGAAAACACAACATTAATTCAATCATTAAAATATCGCTGTAGATGAAACCCCAAACTTGTCTTACGCAATATCTCAAGCTCCAAGTTTTCTCCAAATTATAATTCAGACCGATTATTGGCAACTAAAAGTATACTCAAGTTTCCCGAGTGTTATCGATTGTGAAGTCGTTTATCTTAGAATTTTTAGACGAGGTCAGCAAAACTGGCAAAACCAAGTTAAACAAACGCAACATCTTTACGTAATGGGCCTTATTCACGAGTCGGCCATATTGGATTGAGAGCGAGGTAAAATCTTCATTATTGGAACTTGTGTAGAGAAATGAAAGCAATGACGTTATAACTTGATACCAGTCTGCTGAGATGCATCATACAAAATTTGTGATTAAACATAATATTCTGATGTTTTAAGACACATTTAAAAAAAAAGTGAGGCTATTGTGAATAAATAGTCTGGCACCATCCATTCAACAGTTCACAATTTATAAAAAAAAAACTTAGGGAACACAACAAAAATTGCCAACTTGTGCATAAGGCCCATTGAAATTAGCAACAGAGTATATATAAATAGTCGGTTTTTTTTTTGAAATTGTACCAATCGTTGTGGTACCTTATAGGGAGCCATTCCCATAGACATGTGCACAAACAAGAACCCACATTCTTCCCATTTGTAAATACCCCTCCTCAAACTGTATAATTATACTATCTGAATCTGAATCTGAATCTGAACAGTATAGTTGGCAAAGCATCCATCAGGAAACATCAGACCATGGGCGTCGCGAGGGGGGGGGGGGGGGGCAAGGGGGGGGGGGGGGGGCACTTGCCCCCCCCCCTGGAAAAGCAACAAAAAAAAAGAGGCGCGAAGACAAAGTGGTGTAAATTTAATGAGGGGGGGGGCAAAATGTCCCTGCCCCCTTCTAAAACTGATAATTCGAGAATGTGTTAAGAAATACAAGCATTTTTTGGCAAATTTTTGTTTGCCCCCCTCTAGAAAAAAATCCTGGCAACGCCCATGCATCAGACCAATTTGTTTGGTTATGTTTGGGCGTGGGACTGGATGAATGTTTATTCGGAACCACTATTCTCGAGCTAGGGAATCGTTATTAAGTTGGTGTATACGTGCTTTTCGAGTGTGGCACCTTGAAAAATAGATTTTCAAATTGAATTGATAATATTCTAGCATTACATTAGTTGTAAGCTTCCCAACGAGACATCGCAAGAAAAAACTCGGCCCATGACAAGTAATCAATTACTTAATTTCAACTTTTGAATGAAGAGCGGGACGCTCCTAATCCGTTCTGAATAGTGTGCGCAATTTCTGAACAGGAGCGCGCCATTTAAAAGCAACTTTTAAAACTATATCAAGGCCTACAAAAACAAACACGCACATGTATTTGTTACAGGACATTATACTGCATTAAATTTCGTTCCGAAAAGAAATCGAAATTTTTAAAAAGCACGTATACACCAACTCTAGGCAACTTGCGACAATAAAATTCATTCCAGAAAGGTATTTAAAAATTAGGGGGACATTAACATATCTCCCTAGTTACTAATGCCTACCTAATATAAAATAATATACTAAAAAGTGTCTCCATAATGAGGTATCTTAATACACTCTTCGTCAAGAACAGATTTTCAGCGGAAAAGTATTACTTACCCAGTCGCTTGACAATCACTTATTTCTGAAGAATTTTGTTTCCACAATAATATTAACTCAGCATAATACAAAATAACATGATACTTCAAAATGTCAAAATATTAAAAATATAATCAGAGACTAAAACCTCTTTTATAGAGACCAGCCTAAACCGTGTTTACTCGGGAACTACACCACATGCAGTTTGTCATGGACAAATTGTAACTCTTGCTAAGCCTGAAGCTAACATAGAAAAACACAAGACAAGAATTTAACAAATATGATATCATAGCTGTCATTAAATTTTGAATACAAGTTTATATTTCTCGGCCTTTTTCTTTTCAACCGTAAAAAGAGTAGTGTGCTCAAACTTTGCCATCTAGGCAAGTGTTCTCTTTAACACATTAACGTTTGACAAATTTACATATCTTTTCCATATGATTACACTCACTTTAAAAAGAATTGACGTTAAAGCTAATGTACATTTGCGAACATTAAAACAAGAAACTACCAAATTATTATGCAATACCGTACTTGACTGTCAGCAAAAAATACTCTCAAAAATTCAGTGAAATCATGGCACCTGGTGTGGCTCTGCTGTCATTTTCAAGATAGGTGGAATTTTTATATCATTTTTCCAACGATGGTGCGGCCGAACCATCGTTGGAAAAGCCCGGCTTTCATTTTAAAATACTGCCCAAACTGACTGGATAGTTAGTCCACATTTTGTTTGCAATTGGTTACGCATCCGTGAATGGGTGCAAGCCAGCTAGTCTGGTTCCCAGTCCAGAAGTCTATAAAATAGTTCCGTTTCGTCTGAAGCGTCGGTCAGAGAACCAGACTACAAGAACAGCGTTTGTTTCTTGTCTTTTTCCCCCCGGCAACTATGGACACAAAACTTAAACAAGTCAGTGGAACGATATTTGCTATAAAATACTAATCCCCAAATCCATCCATTTCTGAAAATTACAGCAGTAGCAAATGTTGTATATTACCTTTGAGTTTAAGCGCTTATACCACTATACCTCGATATTGACTCCATTGAACTTTTTTTTCCCTTCATAACCCTATTGTTTACTAAAGTGGTTGCAAACTCACCAATTGAATGTATAACAATTAAATAAACAACTGTTAATAAATAATCTGTGTTTTTTTGTTAATTATAAACTATCAATAAGTACATGAACAAAATGAGTGCATTAATATTCACATGCATCATAATACAGGGTGTTTTAAAAAAAAAAGAAGAAAACCCAACTTCAAAGAATGAGTATGGACATACGATATGTTTACTGGCTATAAAATTGGTATCATCTGAAAGCGTAATCTTTATGCTTTTCAGTGATACCGTGTTTAGGTTTTCTGGGTCATGCATCAATGAGCATCATTGTCTTGAAAATTAGATGCAAAAATGCAGTTGGTTCACTTTCATAAAAAAAACACTGGGCACGGTGTGCCTATTATTACGGACATGTCTGTGAAATGGCTTGAATGCTAATCCTCGGGAAAATGGCACATTGTTTTGAACGTGGCTTGGTCAAAACTATAAATTCAAGACAAACAATAACATCAGTTTTGAAACCAACCCGACTTGTTTTTTGGTTTCTTTTTATGCACTCGTGTCTTCTTCTTGAATACTTATTCTCAAGCACACCATGCCTATTGTGTTTGACATGAAAGTGAACCAACTGCAAATTTGCATCAAAATCTCATGACAGTGGCGCTCAGTGATGCATGACCCTGGAAATTAAATAATTTATCATTGAACAGCAAACAGATTACACTTTCAGATGATACCAGTTTTATAGCCAGTAAACATTTAGTCTGTCCATACTGGTTCTTCAAAGCTGGGTTTCCTTTTTATTGAAACACCCTGTATAATATAACAGTTTCTACTTGTAAATACTGTTTATACAACAATTTCAGCTAACAAATCTTTAAAGGAAACTATTTATACAGTTACAGTGCTCTTATATATGTTATTATATTTAAAATATATAGTTCTCACCCATAACTTTAGATATAATGTGCATTTCAATATCTACAGCAATTTGTTTTGTACAATTGCATCAATCTTATGCAAATTTAAGTAGATAGAACCAGGGTTTGGTTGGCTGTGTATAACCTATATGTCCAGCATATCGTTGACCATAACGTCAATGTACCAGGTTGGACCGGGATTGGCACCGGTAAGAACGGTCGTGAGACGCCGCGGTGAAATCGCTCGGCCTCAGTTAACGCTAGTCGTGGTATCTGTTAATTGGAAAGTATGGAGGCAATTTCGTTTTAGTCTTAAACGGTCGTCTTGGATTTTATTTTGAGTAATTCGCGTTGCACGTGACAAAATGTCAGATAGAGGAACAAAATGGGAAGTGAAATGAAGAAATAAACGTTTCCCCTATGAGGGATTCATTATAATAATGTTTCAAACTTTGATTCATTCAAACCTTTTTTTCAACTCTGAAACAATGTCTTGACAATTTCATCATCTACTCTAATTATTTTTCGAGCTGTTGTAAAGGGGTATTAGGTTCCCAAAATATCGGTCAATTTAAGCAAAACAAAATATAAGTTATTATTATTATTAATATTATTACCTCCGCCAAGGAGGTTATGTTTTCATCGGATTTGGTTAGTTTGTTGGTTGGTTGGTTGATTGGTTGGTTGGTCGGTTTGTCTGTTAACAAGATAACTCAAAAAGTTATGGAAGGATTTGCATGATATTTTTTTTAGGGATGGTCCTTGGTAAAAGTAATAGTCGATTAGATCTTGGAAGTGATCCGGATCTGGGTCTGGATTTAGGATGGCTTTTTTTGAAGGATTCTTCACCATTTATGCGAGTATTTCTTTTGGGTGTACTGACAATATGGCGGGGAATTGTTTAGCCTTGGCGGAGGTTTGTGCTCTCTGAGTGCTTTCTATATATATATTTTTCAGTTTTCTGTAAAATTCAGGGAAAATGTTAACCCAATTTCATTTTTTATTCGAAAAATCTATTTTTCTCCTACATTCCTCAAAATTCAAACAACTTTATATTTCCCCAAATATATAAAAAGAGGTATCCGAAATATGAATATTAATATCAGGTTCTCCCAAATATTTTTTTGATTTTAGCCCTCATAATTCCCGAAAAATAAATTTCGAACGGCCCCTGGCGTCAAATAAGTGAATGTGTCATTATTCTTAATCGGTTCCTTATTGTGATCACTCTATATTAACACTTACTAGTGCTTGTAGAATGATCGCCAGTAGTTTTTGAAGTTTTCTGCAAAAACAAAAAAAGACAAAAAAAAAGAAATTGAGGTTTGACTTAAGCCATATTAAATACAGTTGTTATATTTCATAATGCAGTCACATTCTTAAATGAACCTTCTGTTACTGTCCAACGAATGATGTGGAATTATGTAACAACAATCCACATCATTCTCATTTTATAAGTTAGGAGATATCCGTGTATCAATTGACTTTAAAAAAAAAGGATCCAATTTCGGTAAAGTCTTAAGATCCATTGAAAATTCTAATATTCTGAATAGCCATTGGATTATTATAACTTAAACCAATTAATTGTCAAAACCAAACTGTTAAATGTGACACATTCGTATCCGATTTCTTCAGTGACAACAGCATAGCACGAAGCCTTAATAACAACAATTCTTTTTAAAGTTAATTAACTTCATCGACTAATTTTGCACAATTGCTTTTAATTAATTGTTATTGGCCCAGGAGCGTGGCAATGTATATGGTTTGGCTGTCCATCGCCTAATTAGATGCAAATCTTTATTATGCATTAATACAGTGTGAGTCAAAAAGCAAATGACCTGGATTAAGTTTTCTCCCCTTAAAAATCAATTAAATTTGACACAACAACGAAGCATATTAAACGAGCATGTTCTTCCACTCATTTGAAAAAAGAATTTACTGAAATTGATCCATGTTATAAGAAGTTATGCATATTTTACTATAAAAAAAACCTACAATCCTGGCCAAATCTCGCTGGGCCCCCAACCCCCCGGCCCCCCTGTCAATGTTGTCTCTCATTGCGCGGTGCTCCATCAGCTGGAGAGAACAACATTGACCGGGGGAGCGGGGGAGTGGGGAGTGGGTGACCGTGGAAGGCTAAGGTTATTTCCAAGTGTCCCAGCCATTTTGGCCGGGATTGTAGTTTTACTTCAGATTGGACCAGGAGCGTGATAATGAACATGGTTGGACCGTCTGTCAGGCTTCTCCATCCATCACCTCATTAGGTGCAATTCACCAAAATGGTCATTATTCGTTAACGAAATGTATGGATACAGATAAAATCAAATCAATTTAAATCACATCAAATCAAATCAAATCAAGCCAACACAGGGCCAAAACTAGCTCTTTCTGGACTCACCAAGACCTTCGAGAAGAGAGTGTTGGAATCCTTGCTCGCAGCGATCTTGTTGCGTTTCTTGTTTAGAGCTTGTTTCACCTGTAGCGGCAATGGAAAAAAGTTGGGAAAATAAAACCGAGAATAGAGATTGTCATATTTGCCTTTTCATATTTTTGGGGGGTCACAGGCAGTCCAACAACAGAAAGTTTGCATTGCGTTTCCGCCTCGATCACCAAATGACTTGAGAAAAAAATATAACAAATGCAATTCGCTGGTTGACCACTTGCCAAAAATAATAATCTTATTAGTCAAGTTAACCTAATAAACAATAACAGCAAAACACACAAAGCAGCAAACTTGACATGCTTATATTTTTTTTTAAATAAAAAGTGACTGACGAAGAATAAGAGACGGATTGAAGACTTGATCACAACATTATTTATTTAGCACTATAATGTTTTAAAAATGGGTGTCAAACTGTGGTTTTCTTTGTCATACTGACGAGAGAAAGGCTTCACCCGCAAACAATTCCCCCAATCGTATTTCCGTCTTTCTTCAGCAGTTCAAACTGCATCCTGGAACTTGGAAAAATACAAGTAAACTTACCTCGTCATTGAACACCACGTGGAACAAGAAGATGAACACTCCCTGCACAGAGAATTGGGAGAGATGGTACTCAGGCATTGATATAAACCAATAAAAGAAACATCACTGAGCATTTGTGATTGAAGCAGATACAGTACAGCGGGGTTTTTCCTGAGGGAAAGCGCCATTTCTGGTCAAAAACCATGCATTTTAACCAACACACAAAACAGTATTTTATCAAAGGTAGGTCTGTAGTGCATATGGTTTGTTTACAGCTATAACCTGTTGAGGTTTCAGGCCCAGTGGATACTATATTCATTTTGATAACGGGGAGTATATGCATTATTTTCAGGCCCCTTGCTGGATTCTGCAGCTAATTACGCACGTAAATGTTAAAAACCACTTTCAATGCTCGTTTTCTTTCGATGGAGACCATTTCTGGGGGACTGATTTCATATAATTTGGGACCAACACTATCTTCACTTTGAACACTTTGTTTCATTTAATAAATCGGTATCTTGTTGATCTAGAACGCACTTGTTCAATGATGACTGCCTCTAATATATTACCGACATTCATCGTATTATTCGAATGACACATTTGAAAGTGACGACACATGGCTACTGAATTATCCCCCACTTTTTTGATGAGAGAAAAAATGATGATTTTCAGGTAATTCTTCATCATCCCAACGACCAAAATGTATTCATTAGAACTGAAAAGTGGTGAAACGAAGAACGAAACCTTTAAAAATGCGCCTATTTGATGCCAGTATATATTGGTACACATTCTGAGGAGCGCCCCTTAGTTTAATGTGTTGTCAGCCCCCTTCCCACCCCCCCCCCCTTTTAGAATTTCCACGGGCGCCCACGCTTTTCGAATTTCCACGGGCGCCGGCCAATTTTGGGATATTGGTCATACCCCATACCCCCCACTCTCCGGCACAGATTTACGCCATTGAAAACCATACCTGTGAGCAGTTGAAGATGACGAAGAGATAGTGGAACACCACCTCGGGGCTGGTGATGATCAGCACACCGAAGAGCCAGCTCAGGCCCAGGATGGGCACCATCACAATGACAGCCTTGAGGCCCGATCTGAGGCAGAGAAGATGCCGCCATAAATAAGAGTCAGAAACCAACATGGTACAGTGGAACGTCACCATAGCGAACACCATACCGAACATTCGGCTATACCGAACATCGTCTTCGGCTCCCGATTTTTGTGTATAAACATACGGAACATTGTTGTTGATAAATGTCAACAAAAAAGCGACAAGTGGCTATATTATTTCACCAAGGAATAGCAGGGGAAAGCCACCCATTGCTGTTGGTACGGTAGTATTATAAGCTCAAAAATTGTGTAATTACATAATTCAATACGGTAGTCATGAGCACGTGTTCAAAGTTGTCTAAGTAACTACATGACTACCAGGCATTGCCAGAGTGTGCAGGAAGAATTTATGAAGGGCACTATTTATTGAAGGTGAAAAACCGTGCACAGCCTTTTGATGTCGAAACAAGATTTCGTCGATAGAACTCATTATTTCCAAAAATCAGTCAGTTGTCTGGTCGTTGTAAATCACCTACTTTCTTGTTTTCTTTTAAATGACAGCAAGCCAGACGGAATAATTTCACGGTTTTTTTGTACCAGTACGATCTTTAATCCAAGTAAGCTTTTTGATAATAATTCGAAAGGTTATCGTTTTGGTATAAATGCAAATGATTCTACATATGTCTTTAAATAGGCTTACTCTAGTTCGTACTGTCAGTATTTTGACAAGATAATTATATTCACTATGAGTTCATCACTCACTTGATCTTGTCCTTTTCTGACTTATCCTTGTTGACCTTCACCGTCATAAAGACGTGCATCACCATGCATATCACCACTAAATTGATCTGAAGACAGACACATTAAACAAAATGACAAGTAAGAAGACATAGTATAAAGAATCATCAAATTGAATCATACACCACTAAAATTATATCATTAGTAGTGCATATCAATCAAATTGAATCATACACCACTAACATAATATCATTAGTAGGCCATATCAAAGTCTATATTGTATTAAACATAAGCTGATATTAAACTGAGGTTATTGACCGTATGATCACGAAACACGATTTTGTCCATAGAAGGTTGGGAGGAGGTGTGGGTGGGGGCTGCCATTTTCCTATGGAGGCGCTGTTCAAAGCTGACAAGCACTATAGGACAATATGCTATATTCTCTTAAATGTAGGTTTTCCCGGCTATTTTGAAACGTTTATCATTCGAATTCACCGTTTCTAATATTCAAAAGCGTTCATCAACATTGTTCAAGTGCACTTCCAATGTTTAATTTCGTCTTTTGTCAGACAATTTCAAAATCAGTTCAAGCAAATTTAAACAATGAGCACACGTTTTCTTATCGGAGTATCGATTTCGTCTGGCAACAGCTTAAACGAATTTGATCTGTACTGACGAATACTCTCGACCCAGTGACTAAAGAGGGGGACCAAACTTTAAAATTGAATGGTAAATGACTATATAGGTTTTGGTAAAAGCGTGTGAAAGTTTCCGTGGACGAAATTGAATGTTAGAGTTGGTGAATTTAAATAAAAATCTGTTAAAATAGCCGGGAAAACCTATATTTATTTGGAAAATTAATATTATAAAAAAAAAAAAAAAAAGCCAATTTTTTGTGGTATCAATTTCTCCCAAAACGAATTTCATTTATTTTCCAATAATCAAGTTGTCAATCATTTTGAAATTATATTTCACTTAATTAAGCATCAATGATCACACAACGTTCATTGTCTTTGTAATGGGTCTAATGCACGAGTCGGCCATATTGAATTGAAAGTGAGATAAAATCTTCATTTTTGGAACTTGCGAAGACAATCAAACCCTCAAGTTCATGGCCCACAGCATGCTCAAATACTGTAGATTTTGAGGGCATGCAAATCGTGATTTGGCCGGCGCAGGCAATTTCGGACCGATTTACTGGTCTGCAACCATAAGGCCCATAAAAGAGAAACAAAGGATATACACTCACAGCTAGTACAAAGTACGCAGGTCCAATGAATGCAATGAGCACACCAGCTCCTTGCTTGACAGAAATCCAACAGCTGATGTGAAAAAAAGGAGAAAAAAATGAATTATGAATTGCCCACAAACTTTTAAAATATGACACTAAAATGCAATCCAAGGCGGAAAATCCTATTAGGCTTCTCTAAAAACTCCTGGGTCAGATTGACCCCGACATGAGTCTATATCTGTACAGTCCTTTTCAGGGTCAAAAAGATCCAGAAAAATGTCAGTTTTGACCCGGGAAAGTTTCATTTTGACCAGACAAGGGTAATTGTTGACCCGGAAAAGGACTGTGCAGATTTGGACTCAGATACTGGGTCCGGTTAATTCTGGCCCAGCAGTTATTTGGAAATGTACACTTACATCTGGTCTACGCCGTAGTTCATGTGTTCTATGCCGAAACTGATGCCCACCACAATCAGTGGAAAACCTACATGAAGCATTCCAAAAGAAAGATCATAAAGACATGGATCAGTGATCAAAATGACTCAAGACAAAAATTACACGTTCGCGTACAGCTTTCATGATCTATATCACACTCTTAACAGTTCCGGGTCAATTTCGACCCAAATTTGGCTCAGTTTTGATCTGACACTGTTTTCGGCCAAAATGACACTTCTCTAAGTCATTTTTAGGGCCTTTTGACCCGGAACAAAATGTCATTTGGACACACAAAACCAGTCTTTTTTTTTTACCAAGAAGTGTCATTTTTTGCACGAACTAAATTGTCATTTTAACCTAGAAGATAGAGTGTTAGGTCGAATCTGACCCGGATGGGGGGACCAATAAAAAAATTATATAGGTATCCCAAAAAGTGGGTCCAAAAAATTACGGCGTGTGCTTCGGGGCACATTCATGGGCCCCAAACAAATTTTGGATTCCAGATGCTCTGTAGGCGATCTGAGGCAATTTCTGACAACTTTAACCAATTTGCTTTTAGGGAAAGATGGTGGTGTATGCATTGCCTGCCTTTATTGCGACGTCACTTAAAAAAACAAAATTGGGTTCGTTTTTTGGGGGGAGGGCATGGCACCCGTTGGCTCCCCCCCCCCACCCCCGATCTACCCTTGACCCGGATCCATAGTCGAGTCTGCACGGGAGTTATAAGAATTCACGGCTTGAAATTGTTGTAGTGTAACTATGTTACCCATTTTAAGGAGTCTTACCCCAGCCAAACACGTAGAAGTAGATCATGTCAATGCCACCCTTGAGGGCGCGACGGACCTTCATGTAGAGGTGCACTCCCTGGATCAGCACCCAGCAGAACACGGCCAGAAAGAAGTAGTGCGACAGTGCTGCCACCACCTTGCAGAAGGTCTGCATAAAAGAAAGTACCCAAGACTACATGAGTTCACCGTGGAGCGCTGTGGTGCGTGGGTTCGAACCCCGACGGGGAACATGGTGCTTGTGTTCTCGAGCAAGACACTTTACTATAATTGCCTCTCTCCACACAAGTGTATAATGGTACCTGTGAATGTAGAGACTGGAATGCGCTGATCTCGAGCTGCTGAAAAACTTATCTCATGACCTGATGAGCAGGTGTAATAATTGTAAAGCGCTTTGACACCGTTGGTATAAAACGCTATAATAAGCACAACACTTTTATTATTATTAGAAATGCAGAGTTTCTCCTAGTTGTAGTCAAATCCTCACGAATCAAGCCAATCACAGGTCATCAAGCTTTAAGCCATTCGCTATGAGAACCATTCCTTTGTCATGACCTTAATATTGTGATTTGACTTGTGACCGTCATGACCAAGTAATGACCAAGTTTGCGTCATGACCAAGTACTTAGTATTATACATCGAGTTTTGGTCTTTCATGCCAATACTGCACTCCGTTGCAGATGTCTTAGCGACAAATACTTTTGAGGCGTAGGGCTACGTTTAATTTGTTTGAGTTTCACCCTGTTGTTCAACGGAGCCCGCTCCGTAACCAACGTCTGAGCAATGCAATTTTATGCGACCCAGCGCGCCAGCCAATCAGAGCCGACTTTAAATATTGTGACGTCATTCGATCAGAAATGTGGACTAGGCTGTTGACTGGTCAATTTGGCTGTCATGTTTTTTTGTAATACAACAATGGGTTACCCGTGACCCAATAGAAGGCGCCCGCTGAATGGTCAGAATCTCGAGGTCAAGACACAGTCTTGTTTTGCATAAACTAATCTCCGAATCTGCCCGCATATCATAGACTCTAGCTGTACAAGGGGATATCCCATAAACAATATATGTTTCATGCGCAAGCCATCACATAATGTCAAGTGAAATAGTAATGTTGCAGGTATACGCAGTAACAATACTACAATTTATTTTCTTATTCAAGTGTGACTTTTAATGAGCCTTTGACTCGAGTTTGGTTGAGTCTTTTGCTCGCAGTGACTCATGTTGAGTCATTAGGTTTAATTCTCGTTCATTAGGCCTATAGGACAATTTGAGTCAGCTCGAGTCATAATACTCTAGTCAGATGACACGACTCACTATAACACTGTTCCGGGGTTTGTTACCAGAGCTGTGAAATTGGGACCGGTGTCACAGGAAATTTGGACTCCTATGAATTTGTGTCTCTCTAACCTTATATAAATTATGTCACTGTCTTAACTATGTTTACTACGACATGCGCAATGTACCACAAAATGAGTGCGTAGGGCTATTTTATATTATTGTAGTCCAAACTTCAATGTAAACCGGAACTCACCGGCAATTTGCCCACTGTGCCTCCAAGGATGAACAGCGACTGTGCAACGAGCAGGGCGGCTGCAGTGTGCTTCAAGATGCTGATACGAGTACTGGTCAATTGCCTGTAAAACAAAGGAAGAGTACGAATTATCACTTCAATATGCATCAACGAAATATAATTTCAAACAAATCTCGTGGTACGGTTGTGCTTTTCTGCAGTTCACTTTTGTTATTTTTTTTTGACAATTTTGTTCAGGAAATCATTCAGGCCTGACCATACATTTAGAATCAGCTGTCGGCAACTGCAAATAAGTTAACATGACTTATTCTTTTATTCAGAATTAATAGAAATACTATTTTGAAAAAGGTATCTTAGTTTGATGAAAGTCTGAACTATTTACGTAATTTGTTTGTTCGTTTGTTGGGCTGGGGTTTTGTTTGGAGGGAGGAATGGTTGCTTAGTTTTTGGTTTAACTTCTTTTAATAACTGGATTTATGGTAGCCTCCTAAGGAACTACAGTCACATGTTAACATCTAAATGGGCCATGTTCTTTTAATAGGGTACAAAATCTTGAAAAAAATTATAATACTAATAAAAATCAAATCCAAAGTGCAGTCCTAAAAACAAAGCATAAGATTGCCAATGAATGACGAAGAACAACAGACCAAGCCACTACATTATCCAAATAACTTGTCTGTATTCACGTATACTGGAACGTGTACTCACCGCAAAACATTGAGAATAATCAGTGAGATCAGCAAGCAGATGATGGAGACTGCCAATCCCAAATTGGTCAGAATCTCCAGCGCGATACTGTCTGCTGCGCTTATCTGAAAATTCAAAAAAAGAGAAGGAAAAGAAACCAATGCAGAATGATCGCTTGTTTTAAAATTGGTGCACTCTCCGATTCATAAAAAAGAGAGTGAGATTCCCCGAATTCAAATTAAAAAAAAGGGACAAAACGTAAGTGAAATCTGTCCAATCGAAAAGATGGATTTTTTTATAGTCAGTATTGTCTTTTAGATTCAATCTCTTTCGATCAAGTAACTTCTACGGCCGAGAAAAAAAAAAAGGTAACGCCCTAAATATTACCCAGATGGGTTGGTAGGTTACAAGTAGGTAGGAAGGTAGGTAGGTTGCTAAAGCTTGGTAGCTAAGTAGCTTGTAAGTAGGTAGGTAGGTACTAGGTAGGATGGTAGGTAGCTACAGCTAGGTAGCTAGGTAGAGGTATGTAGGTAGGTAGGTAGGTAGGTAGGCGTAGATGTTTGTTTGTTGGTCTTTATATTCACTCTGTTTATTTAAAGATACCTTTATGCTAACATTATTCTGTTTAAATAGCCTGTTTAATCGTTCGGAAGTTAACTCAAACAACATCAGAGAACTTTCCAATTTACGCAAAACATTTCATTTCTGTTTTTGGATTCTTACCTCAATCGTACGTGGGGAGACCAGCACAGCAAAGCTAGTCAAGTGATCGCATTCACACTTGGTGCTTGTTGTACCAGCGCTAGTCGTAGTGCAGCCCTCCGAGGACCAACTTGTGCTACAAGAATAGAAGCAGTGTGATCACATTTCATTATGACAAATTCGAAAATAGTATTCAAATTTCTGACGTGCTTCACCTTATAGCTGCTCACCTCTTGCTTTTCAACAAATTCTGGTGTTTGTTTCTCCTATATGATATGTTGAACTGTTTTTTAAATTTATTTAAATTTTCTAAGAAATAATTTCATAACTTGGTTTACTGCTCAGAAGTATAGGTGTGTAATTGTTTCTCTGTAATAATTCGTCTGTTTTTGTGTAATGTTATGTCTGATACAAGCTATGCGTTCAAGGTTTTGCCAGTCGAGTGGCCTTTATATGTTGTTCAATACGTAAATTATTTTTTTCATTTCTGTCATGAAGAGGAAATAAATGTATTTTGAATTGAATTGAATTAAACTGAATTGAATAACTATTATGATTCAATAGTTAAAAATGAGAACAAAATAACAATTACAAACTTTTTTTTTAAAATGGGTGAAACTCGACAACAGCAAGGGGAGAGCGACTTTAAATTGAATTTTACCAAAATATTTCAGTTATTTGGTGTCATCCATTAACGAAACGAGATTTGAAAGTTAATTGCAACAAAGTATAATTTTACCCCCAAAAGAATAGCCCTAAAAGATAAGTCGGTGACAAAAAAAATGTACAATGATGTCTGAATTCTATACAATACTTCTGATTTATTCCTAACTATTGTGATTGACGTGCTAAAAACAAATCAATTTTTGGTGTAGCATCTTCACGACAAGTGCTTCGATAACTTGTTCAACAAGCCTTTGTTTCATTAAAAAGCTTATAGTTATTGGCAATAAAACGGCTAATAACTAAATAACCTAAGAGAACTACCAACCGCTATTCAAGCATTCCACTAGACCTGTTTCGATGTCTGGACCTGAATAATTTAAGAAAACTTGTGAAAAGAAATCAAGAAACTTACTCTTTGAGGAATGCACAAGTAGCTTCCTTGTCCTTCTCAACCTGGAAAGTAAAATTATTATTATTCCTGGGTTTATTTTTTTATTTATTTGTTACCTGTATTTAATATATATTTCCCTTCTGCAGTGGACACAGATTATGGGAAATAGTCTGCGATTATAAGTAATCCGGGTTCTCAAATGTTGGTACTACGTGTCAAAAACCATGCCCTACATTTGATCATAAGTAACTGTTTACCAATGGAATTAAACCAAAATTTCAGACCATGTAAACGAGGCCTGACAGATTTTATGGAGCGAGATTCATCAGCTTTGTGCAAGAGGGTGGGATTTAAACGCCATACGAAATAAATATTCACTTTTAAAATCTGCCAATTTTGACTTGGCGTCTTCCAATGTCGACACAGCGCGCTGGAGATGGTGGCGGAAGGCGCGTGCTGCGGCCGAAAGCTTCTGAAGGAATGCAGGATCACCCCAGATGTCTTTGTACACCTCATCGTTTGGCGCAACACACGATCGAGGAGATGTGCAATGACATCAGGGGTGATCCTGCATACCTCCTGAAGATTTCGGCAGCAGCACGCGCCCCCCGCCACCATCTCCAGCGCACATTCTGTAGGTATTTCTTTCGTATGGGTGTTTAAATTTCACCTTCTTTCACAGAGCTGATGAAACTCGCACCATAAAAATGTGTTCATTCCTTGTTTACATGATCTGAAATGTTGGTTTAATTGCATTGGTAAACAACAGAGTTATTTGGGATCAAACGTAGGACATGCTCTTTTGACAGGCAGTATAAATTCTTATGATAACATCCGGGGAAATCTTCGGCACAAAATGTTGTCCATCGGCAGTCCTATATTGGTTGTTTCCTAATTATTCAAAAAGTTTTTAATAGCATAATCATTTTCAAAAAAATGATCTTTTAACGTAATAGAATTAGAATGTTTACTAAAGGCTTTTAGCTTCGTGCTGCATTTTTTCTAAGAAGTCTGAACTACAAACAGGCCTATAACGATACCACCCTGTTCATCAGAATATGCAAGACAAAAATTATACCATGCCACAGCAATGGAAACAAATGTCACAGTCGCAAAGCATAAACAATGCATATGCTTGTCCTGCTTGCGAAAATGAAAATTGCTATAATTTCCGTTTTTTTAACGAGAAAAAAAAAATGTGTATCCAAATCCAATACATGTAAAGATCTACCTCTGAATGGGTGAAGGTAATTGCCACGTCATCCTTGAAGTTGGTCGTTGAGTTTGCGTTGACGTTGATTCCCACCAGCAAGCTGTGTACTGTATATGTCAGCCTGTAACAAAGATGAAAAGGCAGATGTAAGGAGCATTCATAATTACCTAAGACAGCTTACCCATTCCTATTGGTCGAGAGCCCGTCACGTGGACACAGCTTACCCAAACCTATTGGTCGAGAGCCCGTCACGTGGCCGGTCTTAAACAGTTGATGAAACACTGGCTGGCTGGTCTTAAACACTTTTCCAGTGTCACATGCGATTTGGACTCCTTTGAGATCAGGTCCCTGTTCACCCTTTTATTGGTTGAACATTCACAGTCCTCGGTTATGTATGCACAATATACTACCAATTAGTCCGCATTTCCATGGAGCTATAGCTCCATGGTATTTCATAGTCCTAAACTTACACTACACCGGCACAGCTGCGTTATGCGCCACACACTGCGTGCCAATCTCCATATAACTTTATAAGGAATTGTTTACGACTAGGCCCTACTGACGAGAGGAACATACCTTAACATAGAGGGGTGTTTAAAATAAAACTCGAAGTAAACTTGTTGAACAAAATCGTTGGAAATTTATAATTTTTGATTTATTTTGACTATTTGACCGAAGAGGTATTTATTATTGGGAGTAAATATGAATTTGATATTAAACACTATGTTCAAGACATGATCTTGTTTTAAAACACTCAATTCAAGAAAACAATTTTTTTTTACACCTTACCGTATTTTTTCAGGACGGAAACAAAATGCATGTCTCCGCAGAATAATACAAAATGCAACAAGATTAAGTGAAATCGTCAATTTGTGAAAAAAATTTTGAAACATTTAGACGTCCGCGAATTTGCAACAATTCGTACATGATAACATGTACTCCTATGCGATTACATTACTAATACATGTATAGAGTAATTATAGATTCCATGTATTTCTCCAACCGCACCACAAGTCCATCGGTCCGAATGCGCTATTTAGTCTGGGGCTTTACAGGTATGCCTGAATTACTTATGTCCATTACTGAAAGGCCCACGCGTAATTACTGCGCCGGACGGTGTAGTTTGAAATGCGGACCCATGATACAGAGTACTAATTGACACTGCGCATGACACCGTGCATAGATTACATGATAACGCGCACATATTACCAGGACACGACGTGCAAGGAACAGGTATATGAAATTGACATTGGACTGTTTCTTGCAGTAAAAACGTTTCATAGGACACGATTCGTCATCGTTTGAAAACAATAAGGATGTATTTTTCTTTTTATTTATTAGTTTATTATACACTGAATGGGTGCCGAGGATGATCAAACAGTCATGTTTAGTTGGACTCGTGTCGGACTCGGGCCGAGTCCTGGAGTCATTACGCCCGAGTCCGAGCCGAGTCCCTCAAGAAAAAGGTGGACTCGGGTCCAACTCGACTCAGGACTCGAATCCTACAAGACTGATTCACACTGATTTTTATTTCTTAGTTGTTGAGTTATTATTTCAAGTCTCTTCTCATGTGACTTACGACTTTCCCTGAAGCTGGTCGGGCAGATGCTTCTGGACACCTTGGTAGTACGAAGTTACGGAGACCCGGCCAGTTTGACCTGTGATTACAAAGTACAAAACACCCTCACCGATATAAATATACCCATGCTTAAATTTCATTAGGGCTGAACAATTAACCAAAACATGCATGATGAAAGAATGAAATTGCACATTTTGACATGGACAGGTGACTATACAGTGGCTCACGAAATACATAGTGTAGGGAACTTGGTCTAAGTTTTAAATTCTATGTCTGTACATTATCATCTGTATTATCTGTATCACCTGTGTCATCTGTATCTGTATCATCTACAATTTGTATCCTATGTACCATCTGTATCATCTATATCTGTTTCATCTGTATTATCTGTATCATCTGTATCTTGTGTATAATCTGTATCATCTGTATTATCTGTTTCATCTTTACGGTGTCATCTGTATCTGTTTCATCTACAATTTATATCCTATGTACCATCTGTATCATCTATATTTGTTTCATCTGTATCATCTGTATCATCTGTATCTTCTGTATCATTTGTATCTGCATCTGCATCTGCATCTGCATCTGCATCTGCATCTGCATCTGTATCTGAATCTGCATCTGCATCTGCATATTCATCTGTATCTGCATCTGAATCTGCATCTGCATCTGCATCTGCATCTGCATCTGCATCTGCATCTGCATCTGCATCTGCATCTGCATCTGCATCTGCATCCGCATCCGCATCCGCATCTGCATCTGCATCTGCATCTGTATCTGTATCTGTATTCGAATCTGTATCTGTATCTGTATCTGCATCTGCATCAGCACCTGCACCTGCATTTGCATCTGCATCTGCATCTGCATCTGCATCTGCATCTGCATCTGCATCTGCATCTGCATCTGCATGAGCATCTGACTCTGCATCTGCATCTGTCTCTGCATCTGCAGCTGCAGCTGTATCTTTATATCTGCATCTGCACCTGCATCTGTGAAGTTGGCAAAGAATCCCTTTGGAAACATCGAACCAATTAGCTTTGCATCTATAATGTTGGACTGCTTCAATAAAAAAGCACCTGTTTAAATTGCTCCTTATAAAATAAACCTTTGCCTTTGTTGTTTAATTGGAGCAATTTAGGTTACACGTGGCTTGCAACATTCGTTCCTCACCACTCTTGAAGATACTTCTTGGGATGATAACAACAACATGTTTAGCGTCGGTTCCCGCATCACTAGTCCCCAGCTCCACGGTGATAGTCTCTTGGTTAGGTTCAATCACAGCCAGCTTGGAATCTGAACACACACACAAACAAAAAACTCTCGAGTGATTACTGTCAAACAGCATTGCAGGCAATTGCCTGGTGGGGAAATGGCAAAGACAATTCCCGAATACGTTGTGCTGTCGACCCGTTTGTGTTTGTCACATAAGTGCTATCTTCGTTTCTTTGTTAGAATAAGAACTTCTTTTCTCATGTTCCCTGTTTCCTTGTGATTTTTTTTGGTATTTCCCTCGTGCTTCAACCAGCATTTATATAAAAGCTCTGACTTCTTTGCCTCAATGTTTGATTTTGCATATTTTTTGAATGGTTTTAATTTAATTTTACTATTCCGTATCCTAATATCATAAGACCAATATAATTTGTCCTTCTTATGATTTGAAGGTAGGTCAAAATGTCTCATTGAATAAACAAATCTGAAATATCTAATATTGATTTTGACTTTGGAACTTTAATCGCTTCATGCTTCCATCCTGGGGCCAATTCGATGGAGCTGCTAAGCACAAAAATGTGCTTAGACGATAGTCTTCCTTGGCAAAAACAGGATTAGCAAACACATTTCCATGTGATGTATATTGCTTGTGATTGGTATTCAGTTGTTGTTTGCTTAGCATATGAATCACATGGAGTTTTGCTGATACCCTGCTTCTACTAAGCCAGACTTTTTTGTGCTAAGCAATTTTTTTGTGCTTAGCAGGGCCGTGAAATTGGCCCCTGGTCTTCCAAAAGGTCGACTCAATGTTGGAAGATCAGGATCAAAAAGTTAACTTCTCACCGACGAACGTGTTATTGACAAGCTGCGGTATCTCGCTGTCCGCGCCGGTGCGGATGTATGCCGCCAACATGTGGTCAACCGCCTTGCCGAGGGTCACACCGCTGATAAAACTCTGGGCAACAAAAATCAGTTGTCTATATTGCTTAACAATACATAACAATACACTCTATAGAAAGTCCCGGGTCAAGTTAGACCCAGGACACGGAATCTCAATGTGTATCCAAAAATGCAAACACAATATTATACAAATAATGAATGTTTATGAGTGCAATGGTAAGAATAATTCCATGAGGTGACAGACGAATGTTCCATTCCACGAGGCGAAGCCGAGTGGAATGGAACATTCCATCTGTCACCGCATTCCGGACCCGGAATCTATATGATCTGATGCTCTTTATGGTCAAAATGACACATTTCTGGGCCGGAGGATTCCGGGTTAAAACGACCCGGAAAACGATCAAAGAGACTTGTCATTTTGACCCGGAATAGTGTTAACCCCAAACAGTGTCAGGTCATGTAGAACACGCATTCCGGATCAAATATGAACCGGTGTAAGGTTGAAGGTTCACAATTATAGCACTGCTTTGCCCCCCAAAAACCCGTCTAAATCCTGTACATTTTGATCTTGGAGGATCTTGTAAGAATCTCTTATAGAATCTCATCAGTTTCATTGAAATGATATGAATCTGATTGATAAAAACCATATAGTCTTCAGGTATTTAGGTCCGAGAAATTTTTATGTTCTAGAGTTAGATACTTATAGAATTCTAACAAGAACGCCAAAGAGGAAAGAAATTTCAGGGTCAGTCAGAATTTCATGTTTATTTTCAGAGAGAAAGATAGTTTTGAAAAATTAAGTTCTTGATTTTTTGAGAGTGAGTGACTCTCTTGTAGAATTTAATAGAGTTTTGTACAATACATGTACTATTGTTCTCAATCGCCAACAAATTTGTGGTACGTTTTCTGTCTGTTTCTTACACAAATCTTTTTGTAAGATTTCCTGTAAAAATTCTTATAAATATTTCTCCTTTTAAGTTTGTTATGAGTGAGATTCCTATCGAATTACCAGATTATTTCGTAAAACTTGACTTTTTTCATCCAGTGTCCTCCCCCCCCCCAAAAAAAATGAAAGAAAAGGAAACTTCACCTTTTCAGTGTCTTTCTTGTTGATCTGAAGAATTTGGTTCACAATCCCCATGTAAACCTGCAAAACAAAACAAAATCCAGGAAATGAAAAAGTTCGCCAATGCACGGTGTCCAATTGCCACAATCATGTAAGATGAGTCCAGGGCGTTGTGTTTTAATAAAGGAGGCGAAAATGGATTTTCCTTTTAGGTAGGGGTAATTTTATAATAGCAGTTGGGACCACCCCAGGGGTATGGGGATTTACCAGTTCGCGCCAGAGCCGTGATTACACGCACTGGCTGTTTAAATGCGCAGGCACGGCTGACCGGTTAAGACGTCAAGACTGCCTCTACTGGTCTCCGGGTGACGTTTTAAGACGCTAATCCCTTGTGCCCTTTGTACACACACACAAAGACCATGTAGCATGTGGAACGGACCGTATGCTGACCGTTGTGTGGGCTGCTGTGCCCGGCCTATTGCTGTACAATCTGTACTATTGCTGTCCTGAAAACTTCTCAGCTCCTTGGGCATGGGGAGCATACAGCTCGATGCTACATGCCATTTCGGCGCAAAGCAGCTAAAAATCAACCATAATATACCATCTCTGCCCTCACAGGTACCCATTTACTCCTGGGTGGAGAGAAGCAATGCGTGACAAAGTGCCTTGCCCAAGGGCACACGCACCATGACCTCAGGCTGGACTCGAACCTGCAGAATTGCCCGCAGACCACAAATCCGATGCCCTTAACCACGAGGTCGCAGCACTCCGATGCACACTAGAATAAATTTCCAACACGTTGCAAGCTTCTTAACAAACAAAAGAAGGCGGCAAAATCCGCACCCCCATTCAGATCCGCACCCCTCTCAACCATTCAGATTTGTATGATGAAAGAAGTTTTGCAACGTGTTGAAAAACTCTAGCTTTCACTTTCTTTTGTTTTTGGTCTGTTGTTGTTTTGTTTTGGTCTTTACCTCAAGCAAGGACTTCCTCTTCTCAGGTTCAGCCCCTTCGACCAATTCCCTCACTTTGTCCCCGGGGACCATCAGGATTTCCCGTAGCACCTCGGCGTCGATTTTGTCTGGGTTGTCCTCGTGGTCCGACAGGTAATCAGTGACGTAGGTCAGATTGCTGATCACATCGTCGATGTTGTCGCTCTGACTGATCTGCCAATTCATGGGTTAGTATAAAACAGGGTGAGTAAAAAAAACCCCGGAACCCAAATGTCGGGCTATTGTTTTAGTGAAGTTCTGCATTTAGCACTCTCAAAATCCAGGATATGAAAGCCCAATGCATAAGCTTTTTTTTGGTACAAGAATCATTCACATCACTTACGTGCTTTGCAAGTTACGGAATTATAAACACAACCACTGTTTTAAAGTTCTGTCCACGGATCACAAAAAAGGGTAAGTGTTCTTTCAGCAAAACGAAAACAATTTACAAAGCGATGTGTGTAAACTGCTTTCGTTTTGTTGAAAGAACAAACATATTTTTTTCGTGATCCGAGGACTGAACCTTAAAACAGTGGTTGTGTTTAACATTCCGAAACTTGAAAGTTCATGAGTGATTTAGAATGATTCTTGCACTCAAAGAAAGATTATAAATTGGGCTTTCAGATCCTAGATTTTGAAAGTGCTACCTGCAGAACTTCACTAAAACAAGGGCCCCGACATTTGCGTTTCGGGTTTTTTTTTTACTCACCCTGTAGATTTGACTAGAAAACAGTCAAAGGCGCACCCACCTGACAACAGATTGCCTAGGGTCAGCTGGGCGCATCTTTGAATGATTTCTAGTCAATTGTTACTTGAGTGTTTTAAGAGTGTGCATCCTTCAGGACATCACTGCAGTCTTAATTTTTTTAAGAAAAAAATTAAAGTTCCACTTATAATGCTAGGTTCACACATTCCCGAATTAGTTGTGAATATACAACCAGAATAAATCAAGAATTGAAATTGGTTCCCGAATCACCCCGACAATGTTGAACATGTTCAAATTGTCGGTGCGCTTCCCGATCTTTTACGATCTTTCACCGAACTAGCAGAATCATCCCGAGGCGGCCAAGAACCATTCCCCGATTTACTCAAGTATTGCTATTCGTGGCATTTCGGGAATGTGAGAACCTACAATCCCGGCCAAAATGGTTGGGACACTTCCTGAGCCTGCCACGGTCACCCACTCCCCTGCTCCCCCGGTCAATGTTGTTCTCTCCAGCTGATGGAGCACACACCGCGCAATGAGAGACAACATTGAGCGGGGGTCGGGGGCCCAACGAGATTTGGCCAGGATTGTAGCATTAGGAGTAAATAATAATTCCCCACTTGTTTTGGACTGGAATAACCGCTAAATTTCGTCGTTCGTAATAAACTCACCTGTAGTTTGGCATCGCGAAGAGTTGTATCTATGGAATGTAAGAGCATTGGAACAATTATTAAAGGATTATATTGTCATAGGCTCTATGCGGCTTTAAGAAGATAAGTTATGCTGAAAAAAGGTAGGAGACAGGCAAGAACAAAAGTTTGCACGAATTGCAAGATACTTGAATGAAACATTCACTCATGAAGTAAACATGCGATGTTAGTAAAATGAGGTAAGACACGATACAATGAGAAGCACAGGGAAAAACGAAGGAGACGCTAAGTAATATATAAAACATGCAGTTTATTGAGTATGACATATTTTTCTTTCAAAGGCCCCTGAAATGTCCTCACCAGACGGTTGTTTAGTAATCTCCGCTCCATCCGTCGTCAGGTCATCGGCTGTGGTGTCAAACTTACCCGTAGTTCGCATCTCACCGGGAGGAGGATCTTGAGTGGTTTTATGTGTCGCGGTGGAGGATTCTGGTTTGGATGTAGCCTCCAAACCAGCAGTCGAAGGATCCAATTCCTGAGTTGAAGTAAATGCGGTTTCTGCAGTGGTTGCAGGCGGAGTGGACCGAATTTCAGGGTCCTCTCCGACCATAGTCTCTGAACCAGCAGCTTCCGTGGGTACTTTTGTTGTGGTTGACTCTGGAGTGATCTCATCAACTGTTGCCTCCTCAATCCTTGGACTCGACTCAGTACTATAGTCTGAGTTTTGAGGGTGGGTCAGGAAAGCAGTTTTTCGATCACACCGCACATTTAGAATAGAAAAGAGCGGTTAGTTTAGGGTATCTATATAGCGGTTACTTTCTAAATTACAAAGAGTGAACATTCACTCCCACAGTCGGAAACTAGGGACTAGACGTTTTAGTGTGAAGTTCTTCAATCGTAAAGATTGAGTTTTCACTCGAGTTTCGTCTGAAGTGGTTCTTTGTCAGATTATTTCAATAAAAAATAAGAGTGATTTTCACTCTAAAACGTCTAGTCCCTCATTTCACTCTTTGGAATTTAGAGAGTAGTTAAACGCATTAAACTCATGCTGATTATTGTTAATGGCAATAGCAATGCAAGCTATTAAAGGAGAGAAATAAACTTAAGAAACTTGAAAATAATAGCAAGAAAATGTTAAATTGGAAATCATGCGGTACGATGCAAGATAGTTGACACGAGATGCATTCATAACAGCGTAATGCTTACCGAACTGAAATTGTGGCATGCAACTACGGGTAGAAAATCATTGTCCTCACAATTGCATGGGTACATTGGGAATGATTGTATCTCTCAGAAAATGATTGATTATTGAGAGGAAATGTTGGCGTTTTAGTAGGATGAAGAACAAACTCCCTGTCGTTTTAAAGATACCCTATAAAAGCTTGAGAAATTGTTGTTTGCTACGAGACCGTCTGGTCCCAACTCAAACAATTCAACAAGACACAAGTGTTCGTGACTGATGATTGTATTTTTGCGTCGGGGAGATGTACATTTGTAATATCGGGTTTTGCCTAATATAGGTTTTCCCGGCTATTTTAAACCATTTTCCGTTCGAATTCACCGATTCTTATATTCAATTTCGTCCAGCAACATCGATTTAGTGCATTTTTAGTTTTTTTATTTCGTCTTTTCTCAGACAATTTCAAATTTAGTCCAAATAAATTCAAACTATGAGCACATGTTTTCGACCTGGTGTATTCGATTTCGTCTCGTCTACGCCGAATCGTGTTATTCAGAAATCGAATTCGTCTAATTGATTTATATAAGACGAATTTGATCTCTGATGCTGCCATTCGGTAACAGCTTAGACGAATTTGATTTGTAATGACGAATATTCTCGACCCGGTGACTAAAAAGGGTAACCAAACTTTGAAATTGAATGGTAAATGACTGAATTGGTTTTGCTAAAAGCGTGTGAAATTATTCTCGGACGAAATTGAATGTTAGAGTTGGTGAATCCGAATGAAAAATGTTTTAAAATAGCAGGGCAAACCTATACTACGTATACGTCGGCGATGAGCAAGACCCGATATTAAAAATACACAAATTACTGTAATGATCATAACCTGTAAAATAAAATTGGCGAAAATAATTCGGGGCAATGTTATTCTGCCCAGTTATTGTAATGAAATTATCTCATTACCCGGTTGTTGTTTATTTTCAAGTACAATTTTTCAAACCCTTTGAAAGAATTTTGCCCCATGCTGTACACAGAACTGACTTTTGATTAATGTGAGCAAGAACGTTCTTGAATGGGAAGTTTGCGGTAACACCAAATTTTTCGCTGCGTGGAAACGTGTGGTCCGACTGTTATGTTTTTGGAATCAAAAGATGCGCAAGGCTCGAGGCTAAACAGTCATAACAGCTTGGGTCGGGAAAGTTTTTTTTAAGGCTATCGCGGAAAAAGTCGAGGGAGGGGGCTGATTCCGCTCCCGGTCCTTTAAGGGTTAAGAATGTTAACTTTGCAATGTTAAGGTGTCTATAACCAGAAAGAGGAAACTTGCCTGAAATTGTTAAAGAGAGTGCATGTTTAATTAAACCGTGTATACATAAGTTTTAAGTCCCTCTGGTATACCCACCAGTAGTCCTAGTAGTGGGTCCGGGGCTAGACAAATCCGCCGAAGTGGTGGGTCCAGTGCTAGACAAATCCGCCGTAGTGGTGGGTCCAGTGCTAGACAAATCCGCCGAAGTGGTGGGTCCAGTGCTAGACAAATCCGCCGTAGTGGTGGGTCCAGTGCTAGACAAATCCGCCGAAGTGGTGGGTCCAGTGCTAGACAAATCCGCCGAAGTGGTGGGTCTTGTGCTAGACAAATCCGCCGTAGTGGTTGGTACGGGGCTGGTCCAACCAGCCGGAGTTGTCGCATGGGGATCGGTCCAGTTGAACGGGTCAAGCCGGAGCGCCTTCATCTCAGACTCGTTCAGGGGCCGGTCCCAGATTCCGATTTCGTCCAGGGCGACGTAGGGGCAGCCCGCGTCACCGGGGTCAAAATCGTTCCCGTCGCCCATCAGGGACACCGCCAGCGTTTGGCTCTCGTGTCCGTTGGAGAAAACCGTCAGGTCTGTGACAAAAGAAGTTTGAACAAAACAAATCGATTGATTAAAATTAATGTGGAGTTTGGATGTTCTTTATCATGGAAGATGACTTTCCCGGTGTATATATGGAAGTTGGTAGTGTGCAGATAAATGGTTGGTCGAGTGAATGGGCGGCGTGATATTAATGTGTCTAGGTAAACTACTGATCATTTGAATTTGAACATTGCAGACTCCAACCTGATTGTGCACATCTATCAACACGCAAAAAATGTAGTGTAAATTTAACACCGGTGGTATCTCGAGAACCACTGGTGTAAAATATAGGTGTTCCCGGCTATTTTAACACTTGTATAACACGAATTCCCTATATCGATACTTTAATTTCGTCCCCGAACATCGCCAAGTTCACTTCTCAATTTGAATTTCAGAAAGCCACCACAAGATTTCATTTAAGGTGCAGTAGGCTATAATTCAAATTGTTAGCATTCCGATTAGTCCAAAATCTTTGAAATTCGTCTTCTGAAGCCATCGGCGTTGAATTGACAAAGCAATTCGTTTTTTTTGTCATTCGTTTTCATGTTGTTGTCATTACATTTCGTCCCTGGTGACTTAAATCGTATACGATTAGAAACTGCGCCCAATATTTAGACTTATTTAAAGAATTATGCGTATTTAAAACAATGATAATTCGACATATATTTCCTTATATGTATAAATAAAGTAGTTAGCTGTAAGGTATGAATTTTTATTTCTGTTTCACAATTAACATTAGAGTCAGGAATTGACATTTCACAATATGCACTTATGACATGGACACTAAGCATTAAGTTCAAAGACCTTCTTAATGTTGTTCTTTGATAGACATACCTTATTTCTGTTGTTTTATTCATATACATAATCAAAGAGCAACATTATGAAGACGTTTGATCTCAATGCTTAATTTTCATATGCTAAGCAAAGAGCATATTGTGAAAGTTCAATTTCTGATTTTAATGTTAATTGTCAAAGAAAACTCAAAACTTACAGCTTTACTTTCATTAATAAGGAAATATTTGTTAAAAATAAAAATTTAATCAATGCGCAAACAAGTCCAAAGATTGGGCACATTTTTAATCGTAACGTTTTAAGTCACCAGAGACGAAATGTAACGACAAGAACATTAAAACGAATGACAAAAACCGAATTTGCTTTTTCAATTCAACGCCGATTGCTTCACGAGACGAATTTCAAAGATTTTGGACGAATCGGAATGCTAACAGTTTGAATTATACTGAACCTTCAATGAAATCTAGTGGTGGCTTTTTGAAATTCAAATTGAGAATTGAGCTTGGCGATGTTCGGGGACGAAATTAAAGTATCGATATGGGGAATTCATGTGATACAAGTGTTTAAACAGCCGGGAAAACATATAGTTTTATACCGGTGATCCTATTATAGAAACCACTGCGGTTCAATCTAATATCGCATTTTTGCAGTGTAAAACGCTTCAGGTAAACTCAACCAAGTTCAGCAGACCAGACCAGATTCAGACCGGACCAGACCAAGCCAGACCAGACCAGGCCAGACAAGACCAGACCAAGGGCCCGGGGCCAACGGGGTCCATGGCGCCCCCCCCCCCCCGCCAAAACAAGAACCCTTTTTTCAAAGTGACGTCACAATAAAGGCAGGCACTGCGTACACCACCATCTTTTCCTCAAAAAGATTTGGTTAAAGTAGTCAGAAATTGCCTCATATCGCACCACAGAACATCTACAATCCAAAAAAAAATTGGGGCCCTTAAGCGGGCCCTCGAACCCCACGCCATAATTTTCGGGACCCACCTTTTGGGGGACCAAATTTGTTTAGGCCCCCCATTGTGTTCTGGATCCGCCCTTGGACCAGACCAGACTAGACCAGCCCAGACCAGACCGCCGGGCCAGACCGGACCAGACCAGACCGGGCCATACCAGACCAGACCAGAAAAGAACAGACCAGAGCAGATCAGAAAAGACCAGACCAAACTAGACCAGACCAATCCACTGAATCCAGACCGGACTAGGCCAGACCAGACAAGACCAGAACCAAACCAGGCCATGCAGATAGACCACACCCAACCTCATCACACCACATAAATTCTACCCGAATTTTAAGAATGTAATTAAATGCAATTATCTTTCTCTGTAATGTTGATGTTCATGGATTTTTTTTTACTTATGAATTGCGTTATATTGCACGTCAGGAGAGCTATTTTATTATCATTGGATTCACTTATATGTGATTTTGCATTTTTACAGTTTACATCCTGCAAACAAAATGAAATGAAATGAAAAGCAATAACTACAGACTGGACCAAGATAACACAACTCAATCACATTTCATTTGGATAACCAAATTACTCTTACTTCCAGTGCGGTTGTTCCATGTCAGGCCCATATGGTTCCACATCCATAGCTTGGTGGCATTGTAGACTTCCTCAGACTCGATGGTGCTACCGAGTGTCCGGAAAGAGACAATGCCGCTTGACCCGCCGAACTGAATCTGTGATGGGAAGAATACTACACTCAACCGAAAAAGAAGGCCTCCCCTAAAACTTTTTTGTCTAACTTAAAAACTACTGGGAACCTCTCGCTCAAATAACGACTAATCAGTACTGAAAGTCCTTAGCAATCCAGCCATACTCATGCATTTACCGGTAGCACAAAATAGTGATAATGTGTGCAAAATTCTGAAAATTATGCAATTTATGGCAAATGATACCGAAAAAAAATGGCACTTTGAATACGTGCAAGTTGAGCGTGAACTTTTTTCGTCTCTAATATTCCAACAAAACTGTCTGAAAATTGATTTCTTACAATCTTTTCACCCTTTCCTTTACTGCATACTTTTCATGCTCTACGAGGTTCAGTAATGGTAAGAGTAAAAACACAACCAACAAAACTTGACATTTTTTTTTACAGAATTTGTTTGTTGAAATATTGCGTTAGAGACAAAAATTTCACACTCAACACTGATCATTTTCTTCTGTACTGCAATCTTCTAACAAAAACATCTTTAAAAACAATTCACCCCGCTTCGACCGAGCAATCATACCTGAAAGCCCATGTTAGAGGTGTCGTTCAGACTGAGCAACATGCAGGTCTCGTCTGTCAGCGTCTGGTTATCCGCCTCCTTCAGGCTCAGCCAGAACGCCACCGTGAATCCCTCGGCACAGGCCCGCGGGTCGGTCGGGCATTCGTTCGGGTAAGAACTCAGCGTGATCTTCGCTGATTTGCGGTTGGCCATCTCGGGTTGCTTCAGGACCACACCTCCGTTGAGCACATCGATTCCTGTATAACAAATCAAAACAAATATGAGTCAACCCGTAAACTTGCCCACTTCAAGAAGAGCTTGGCATTTCGAGAAAAAGAAAGAAAAGATCACATCCTTTGCACAATCACATATAGGTAAAACACAGTCTTAAAGTTCGGCCAGCTGATTCGAAACGGAATCCAGATCAAATATTTTTGACCACGACACTTTACTGGGTCAACATTTCACTTTTCCCCATGTAAAAATTACACATTTCTTGGTCAAAATAACCATTTCTGCGTGTCTAAATTAGACAGTTCCAGGTCAAATGACCCTGAAAACCGACTCGAGGAAGTGTCATTATTTTTGACCAGGAAAAGAGTCAGGTCAAATCTGGAAGGATTTGGGTCGAAACTGACCGGGGAGTATTAAGAGTACATTGGGAATGTAACCCTATAACGCAGCTTAAGTCTAGCGTTGACTGTCAATACAGGCCTATATTGTGAGTTTAAGCTTTGGTCAGATATGTTGATATGATGTTTTCCCGGCTATTTGAGAACGTTTATCATTCGAATGCACCGTTTCTAAAATTCAAATTCGTCCATCAATATCAACTTAGTGCGCTTCCAATGTTTAATTTCGTCTTTCGTCAGACAATTTCAAATTCAGTTTAAGCAAATTCAAACAATGAGCACACGTTTTCGTCCCGAAGACGAAGACGTTTTCGTCCCTTAGACGAATTTGATCTGTAACGATGAAACAATTTCAAATTCAGTTTAAGCAAATTCAAACAATGAGCACACGTTTTCGTCCCTAAGTATTCGATTTCGTCTCCTCCACGCCAAACCTTGTACTGTTATTCAGAAATCGAAGTCGGCTCATTGATTTATATCAGACGAACTCGATCTCTTCATGCTGCCATTTGGCAACAGCTTAGACGAATTTGATCTGTAACGACGAATATTCTCGACTCGGTGACTAAAGAGGGTGACCAAACTTTGAAATTGAATGGTAAATAAAACAATTGGTTTTGTTAAAAGTGTGTTAAATTTTTCTCGGACGAAATTTAATGTTAGAGTTGGTGAATTTGAATAGAAAGTATACATTTTAAATAGCTAGGAAAATCCACGTTAAAATTACATTTCCTTTCAAATATTGTGGCGAAACAGTCGGTGGACTGGTGCGAGTTTACCATGGCTCGCCTGGTTCCCCGACGTCGTGCGTAAGGTATAGCGCCTAGTCAGAGATTTTAGGCAGTCCGTCTAAAGACGCCGTTGTGTGAACATAGATTAGTGGAAACTTAGCGTTGAGCTCCGAATCCGAGTAAACCTCGTGTGTAGACGTAGAGATAGTTTGGGCAACGCGGCGTGCAAGTCAAGGGCGGATGGTGAGACTTTAGAGTAATAATTAGCAAGCTAGACATTTTGTTGTAAGGGGAAATTAGCCTGGGTGGCTGTGGGTTGAGCTGGTGACTGGGGACCTAAGGTTCGTGTGGTATGTGCAGCAGTATTCCCTGGTCGGGAATTGGGTTGCCTGTTGCCTGTCGACCTTTGTCGCCAGGAGTCACCTCGGGGTTATAAACCGCGCTCCGTAACCTGAGCCCAGTGATTTCTGTATGCTAGGTTGCATGTGAGGGTTACTCTGGTAAAGTCTTGATCAGTGTGTGCAGTTCATAACTTGTTGCTGTTGATCGCACTGGGTGTGCACAGTGAGGTTCTTGCCACTGTGGGATAATCTTTCTAGATAATCAACGAGGTTAATTACATAGAGCCTGCTTAGGCTGGTTGTTGTAAGCATTGTACAATAAGAGGTTATTGTTGTGTAAGGCTTACTTTATAGGGATGAACCTAGAGCAGCGGGGAACGTTGTTCTGCGAGGTTTATTGGCCACTCATTGAACTTTAAGCCTGTGTATTGGACCGAATAAAGAGTTGTTTCTTGTTCTCTAAGACACATGTGTAGGTTTATTGAGGTTCCCTGGTCACCTCTAGGTTGCTTGCCACGTGAATTGGTATTCCTTTAGCATTGGTATATTCCCAACAAACGGACAGGCTTAGGACTTGAAGCCTCCGTTCGTGACGTAGTCCCCCCTTATTTGCGTGTAACCGCTCATGCGCATGTAAGGTCATTAAATATTTTTGTGGGATAGTCAGCTCTTGTTGGTGTGGGTGTAATTCCTTATCCATAGACGGGCGAGCGCGCCACAATATATGTGAAAGTTTTCGTAAACGCAGGAGACATAAAGAAGAAAAAATGGACATTGGTAAAAATTGGTAACCGATTACTGTTAGTAAGACTGGTAAAAATAAAGAAATTATATTAAGAAGGAAAAGCGAATCATATTTACATGTAAAATAAATGGGGAGATCTTTTTATTTAGAAACTGTAGAATTCAAATTGGGTTATTGATAACAAAAGAAAGTGTTGTTCATCAATGCCCTCTTAATATATACAGGATTAGTCGATGATCAGGACCCGAATTAAACAAAATATTAAAAATATGTAGCAATTATCAAAGCAAGTGCAATTGAGATATGTTATAGGCTAGTATTTTGGACATATTTGGTGAAAGTTTCATGTATATCCATTGTACCATTTAGAGGAAAAGCGTTCACAAAGAACACACGATAAAAAACACTCTGACCACGGTTCCATGGTTCAACAAATTTATTGCGATCGCGCACTGATGTGACTGCATTTCAAACATTGCAGTCACGTTAGTACGCGGATTCAATATATCCAAAATACCAGCCTATAACATATTTCATTTGCACTTTTTCTGATAAGTTCTACACATTTTTAATATTTTCTTTAATTTGGGTCCAGATCATTCTGGCTCACCCTGTACATGTACCTGAAATTCAAAATGCTCAGTTTCCCTCAAAATTTGGTTAAAATAAACAAGCGTCTCCGACAAAAAACAATTTTACCTGTAATACTGCAAAAGCCAGCGCCTGAGATGCTGCCTGCAGTCGCATTCTCCTCCAAGAAATCCAGGCTCCAGTACGCGAAAGCAGAATCATAAAGCTCTTCTAAACATCAACAAATTTAAAGGGAGGAAAAGAAAACAGATATGTACTACAGCACTTCCCAAAATACCCGCAACTTTGTTTTTATGAGGCTCTATAGCGTCGACAGGGAAACACGTACCGGCATTATTTTTATACCGTAGGGCTTCGAATTTTAACTTTATCCCTGGTGAGTACTGGTTTGATATTTAAAATAAAGGCATGCCTTTTTCTTCTCACGAATTAACATGTAAACTTTCCCATCGAAACTACTGAATACATTGTAATCATGATTCCATTGACGATGTATGCTGCAGAAAAAAGAAATACATCCGGCACTAGAACAAAAGACCAAATTGCACTGAGATAGTACGGTACCACGTGATGTAATTACCGGGTCCGTATATACGATCGCATGCTTAACCCGTACGATACAATAATTTTGTTTGGTATTTTTAAACGGGCAAAAGCTACATGTTTTGGACTTTTTCAACCCCTTGAAACTACGCTTTAGATCCTGAAAGGAAAAGATCACGCGGCGAGCTTCCGGAACGCTCGCTTTGTGCATTTTACGCTGGGTTGCCCTTTTTCTTGCTCTAAGTTTAGACAGAATTATTACTACCTGTAATCACTCCGGGAAACGTTCATGTTGGAAGTTTATCTGGGTATTACCCCAAGAAAATAATGATGAGAAATCAGTTGGAAATGGGTACAAACGAATTTTACTGACTACCTTTCACATCCGCAATAATTGTCATTCCTAGGTCTCCTTGTTGGATCACGTTTGTTTTCACATCGCGTACTTGCGTGAGAACGAAACTGTCTAACGACGCAAAGGTTTTGCCTACGTACATCCGATGATTTCGCTGTCGTAGATTTTCTTTTGTGTCAGTACATGGCAGTGAGACCATGGGCAAACGTTACTCACAAAAGCTTTAAATATAAGCACATATTTGGGTTCACAATTTGAACAGAAAACCCATAATAGTGTCTTCCTGAAATGAAATCACAGCAACAGCGCCATCAGTTGTCCAGAAAAAAACATGGATTTGAAATGTTTAATTAAGTATACTTTGTAACACAATTAACCAAAAAAGGGATGTCAAATATTTTTCATACATGTAAGAGGAGTAAAAAGTTGCACCAAATATCTTCCTTAGAGAAGAATTCACTTCGTGGACCCTCTAAATATCGTGAACAAAACTGGCACCGACTCATTGAGTTTTCTCTTATCATCTTCTTAAAATATTTATTTTTCTCAGCAGCGAAGGAAAGTAAAGTGTATCAACCTTTTTAGCATATGATATGCCATCAACAAAAAAAGAGAATAACTTGAGCATCTTTCTCGTGCTTATCTGCAAAACTGTACAAGTGCAACCTCAACCTCACCCAAATTCCACGTGAGGTATTTGTATTACAGAAAAAAAACATCTTATGCTTTTTCCCTGATAGTCGCCATAATGTGAGCACAACATGCAATTTTCTTTACGATAAAGGTGCGGCATTGCCTCAGAAGCTAAACCACTGAGTATACAGTGTCTATATGTCGGTGAAGGGCAAAACCTTATATTGAAGCCTTTAGCTATTAGCCGAGGTAAAGAATATCTCGTTTCAATGCCATTGAATCACCAAACCCAGGGAGCTGTACATAACATGTGGTAATTGCCTTTTGCTTTCATGGCAGCATTTTCATTTTCGCCTGTCTTTTTTTTTTTATAACGACGGTTAATTTCGCCACTTCATTAACCAACTTTCAAAGTTCCCATGGCAACCTGTGTTCCATGATCATCAGTTTAGCCCTGAATTAATCATAGAGCATGAGCGCTAGTGCATCAGCGTCAGCCGGTGGGTTCATGGTAAATTATCATCTCCCATTAAGAACCCAAATCCACTCGATCCATCATTTGTTTGTTACTTTGTCCCGATATCAGAATTGTTCAACAAATTACGGCACAAATGATGCGCTCAATGGTAAGATTACAAATGCTTTGCAGTTTGTTCATGCAAGTACTGCAAAAAGTACTTTAAAAAGATCAACATTGTGCATCAGAAAAGGTGAGCATTTCAGAGGCTTTTCGCATCAATGGCGGCCATACTTGATTCTCAGCATGCAATGTAGTATAGGTCATGTGACTATAAATGCTCGTCAAAAACAAATTCTTATTAGCTATGGGCAACGAAAAAAATGGTTTTGACCAACAAAAACGCAACTTTCCCTTTTTTACTTAAGTAAATGACACATTTGTTAGGAAAGGTAACAAAAGTCCACGAATCACCATAAAGTCATAATTGTTTATTTAGTAAACGTTTTCAAAGGCTTTAGAAAAAAACCTCAAATTTTGTTTAACGTGAAACGGGTTTAAGTTGGTAATTTACACAAAACATTTTTAGAGAAAATTTAAATCTGCAAAAAGACACGTCAGTAACCCTAAAAGATTAATGAAAATTAGAATCATGCGATTTCCCCTCAAAACAATACCGCCAAAATGGGCGTTTTTCCCAAAAATAAGTTTTGGAAACATACACACATGTATTCTGAAAATAGACATTATAAGGATTCCACAACTGTTTTCAGATCGCTTCTAGGTCTCTGAAAAACCATCAAAAACCAACCTCTATTTCTTGACGTAAGGACCTCGACTATACTTGGTCAAATTGGCTTTCCTCTTCATACCATGTGTATAAAAACAAAATGCAAACAAACTACAACGAAATGTCAGACGTAGAATGTGTAACCAACAAAGATAATTTGAATAATACGTCTTTCCACTTCAAATGAGACATCAAATGTCAAAATCTGATCATTTTTGACAGAGTTATGAGTAATTTTCTAAGAGAGGTCAAATTTTCCATGGGACCAAGTTTTAAATTGTAGGCATAGGGGGCAGAGGTTAACTAATAGCCTCTGTGTGGATAATTGCCTGGCCTACAAAAATGTGTTCAGCGAGTAAACACAATTCTAAACCTATCACCTCATGCTATTTTCTCAAAATAATTGTTGTTCGTGGCGCCATCAGAAAAATAATAGCCTGACCATATTTCTCGTGTATACGTGTATCTCCAATATTATACAGTGCAACTTCAACATTGTTACCCTCACCCGAAGTTCACGTGATGTACTTGCATGGTTGAAAAACAAAAATCATATGTTTTTTCCCCTGATGATAATCGGCATCACGTGACCACAAGATGCAATTTGCTAAAGAGGTGCGGCATTGGCTCAGAAGCTATCGGCAGTAAAGGATATCTCGTTTCAAAGACGTTAAACTATCAAGCAAACAGGGGCCCTTAATATAACTTGTGAAGATGAGAAAGCAATGTTGCGTAAAATTGCATTTGCTAAACTGGAAGCATTTTCATTTTCGTCTGTACTGTTTTTTTTTAATGATGGCGGTTCATTTCCTCCACTTCATTAAGCTTTCATAGTTCCCATGGCAACCTATGTGCTCATTAATCATAGAAGAGCGCCAACGCATCATGAAGAAAGCCATTATAATAGTCCGAAGGTTTATTGATCCGAAGGTTCGATAGTCCGAACACACACACATTTCCCATAACTGAAAATGAAATAAGGTTTGTTAATCCGAACATTTGGTGCGATAGCCCGAAGGTTCGATAATCCGAAAGTTCGGTAGTCCGAAGGTTCGGTAGTCCGAAACAAAAACCGGGTTCAATAGTCTGAAGGTTCGTTATTCCGAAAGCACACAAGGTTCGATAGTCCGAATTGACAATAGTGTTCAATGCTGTCGATTCGGTCTACGGTATCGAACCGGACTATCGAGCCTTCGGATTATTCGACCTTATCCTATTTTCGGACTAATGGGCCCTTCGGACTAACGACCCTTCGGACGAACGATTTTTCGGACTAAAGGATCTTCGTCCTAACGAACCTTCGGACAATCGGGGTGTCGCCACAATATCCTTCTATAATCACTCACCTGAGCTGATTCTGTGGTACAGGTCTTCATATTCAGGAAGGGCCTGTCATTCAACAGAAAACATAATTTGCGAAATTAGACCTATTTACAGAAGATTACGGTTAATAATAAAATAACAAGTAAACCATATTGAATCAATTACACAATTTGTCTCGCATTAAGTTGCCAAGCCCTTTAACGCAACGTTGTTTCAGGCCTCGACTTGTGAAATATGGCTATAGTAAACGATATAAAACGTTATATTGATGACCTTTAAACGGTTAATGCGTTTAGCCAACACTTTTCAAAGGCTGTCTATTGCCTCTGTTTGCAAATGTCTTAAGGGGGTATACGGTCTGAAACACAATAACATGTATTGGATTGGCCCAATGCATCTATCGATGAAACTTTCTGTAAATAAGATGATCAAGCAACATTTTCTTTATGATGATCCAGCACTGTTGCGATGCTCAAACACAAAGGTGTTTCTACATGTATATATTAATTTAAAAGCATATACGATCATTTGCTTTTATCCCAAAAGTATCCTAGCGAATTATTAGCAAACAGCTTACTTGGACTCAAGATCGTATACTGGTAATAAACACCCCGCGAAATTATTCCGTCTGGCTTGCTGTCTTATAGAAGAAATCAAGAAACAGCCAAATGTGAGGGCAGTTAGCGCAAATAATCCCTGGGCATTAAAGGGAAAATACAACATTTGCAAACATCAAAAAATAAAACTACCAAATCATTTTGAAATAACTTGCTGGGCTGTTAGTGAATGACAGTGTAAAGCACCCTGTAAAATCATGGCACCTGGTATACTGTCATTTTCAAGAAAAGTGGTATTTTTGTATCAATTTCCAACGCTGATCGGCCGATCAGCGTTGGAAACAACTGGCTTTTTTTCAAATACTGGCCCCCAATTGACCATCGCACTTGTTTGCAATCGATTACAAACCTATGAACGGGTACGAGCCAGCTAGACTGGTTCCCTGACCTTACAATTCCCCAATGTATGTAAACTGCTCTGTTTCTTCTTATATGGAGTCAGGGAACCAGACTACAGGAAAATGATCGTATAATTATGATCGTATAATTATGTGAAAACTACACTCTCAAAACTATGTTCAGAGTTTGAACACATTTCTAAACACATAATTGTTCCCACTTTTTTTTTTGTAAAGAAATCAATGTTCCAAAACTACACTGTATTTCAAAAACTCTGACTTTTACACGTTAATTTTCCTTTTCGAGGGGTCCTGAAGCGCGCAACCAGAGGTCAACTTTCAGGCTCCATACACGTTTTACATGTATGCACATTGTTGTTTATGAGACACTCTATAAAAAAAACACCACGCGGCCTAGTGAAAATGCCCGCGCGGCTAGTTAGTAGCCTGGCTGGCTAGTTGACAAAAATGTTAAGGTCGAACCACATAAGGACCTCTACTACTTGGTCAAATTTTGCTTTTCTCTTCATACCGTGTGTATAAAAACAAAATGCAAACAAAATAAAACGGAATGTCAGCCGTAGAATGTGTAACCAACACATATATAATTTGAAAAATACGTCTTTCCACTTCAAACTGATACATCAAATGGTGCCCAAATCTGATCATTTTTGACAGAGTTATGAGTAATTATCTAAGAGAGGTCAAATTTACCATGTGACCATACAAGTTTTCAATTTTAGGCATAGGGACAGAGGTAGACTAATATAGCCTATGTGTGGATTATTGTCTGGCCACAAAAATGTGTTCAGCGAGTAAACACAATTCTAAACCTATCGCCTCATGCAATTTCTCAAAATAATTGTTGTTCGTGGCGCCATCACAAAAATAATACCATATTTCTCGTGTATACATGTATCTCCAATATTAAACAGTGCAACTTCAACATTTTTACCCTTACCCGAAGTTCACGTGATGTACTTGCATGGCTGAAAAAAAATCATATGTTTTTTTTGCTGATGATAATCGGCATCACCTGACCACAAGATGCAATTTGCTAAAGAGGTGCGGCATTGGCTCAGAAGCTATCGGCAGTAAAGGATATCTCGTTTCAAAGACATTAAACTATCAAGCCAACAGGGGCCCTTAATGTAACTTTTGTTGGAATCTGCGACATGTTTAGATTTGTGGATGTCTGTGACATGTTTAGGTACAGGACGATGGCTTGTTAGTACCATCAAGCATACATAGGAAATTAAAAATGACATATCGGGTTGAAGTCGAATGAGAGGCTACATATACCCACTTTTAACACTCTTATAAATGTAAATGTAACTTTTAAAAAATTATTATTGATAGCACTGAGAGGCTTTCATACTGTGCAAAAAATCTAAACGTGAAAAAAGTTGGTTAAAAAAGTTTTTTTGTTAAAGTTGGTATATACGTGCTTTAGTGGGTGTGGCACCTTCAAAAGTAGATTTTCAAATTGAATTGGTAATTTTCTAGCATTACATTAGCTATGAGTTTTCCAATAAGACATCGTACGAAAAAAATCGGCCCATGACAAGTAATCAATCTATTAATTTCAACTTTCGAATTAAGAGCGGGACGCTCCTAATTCGTTCAGAATATACAGCCTGTCTAAAAAAAAATGGTACAATCAGAGAAAAAAAATGGTTAAATAATGAAATTTCAAAATAAGTCATTCTTACTTGGCATAATATTAAAGAACAAAGATTGGGCTTTCCAATAGTGTTTGTTTGATCTTATTTGCTTTTGTCAATTCAGAGATATAATCAATTTAGTGCGTTACACCAAAATCGATTTTGTGCCACTTTTATGCATGGGCAGAGTTGTTTCGAGTACTGTGCCATGCTGTCTTGAAGCTCACAAAAGATTGCAACTTGGCAAAAGAAACAAACTCGATTTTTGTGTTCCGCAGTAAACTGGAGTTATCTCTGGATTGACACAAAAGCAAATGAGATGAAACAAAAAGTATTGGAAAGCCTGGTCTTTTTTATTTAATGTGATGCTCAAAACGACTTACTTATGTTGAGATTTAATATTGAAAAAAAATCGTTTTCGATTGTACCATTTTTTTTAGACTGGCTGTAGTATGCACAATTTCTAAACTATCGTTTGGAAAAGAAAATCGAAATTTTGAAAAAGCACGTATATACCAATTTTAACTCTAAGCACCATTTTTAAAGTTTGCTGTAAAAAAAATTGAGCAACCACATGTATCCCCTGTGAATTGCATACTAATAACGCCACTGGTGAAATATAAAAGCACTTGTCAATAAGAACTAATAAATGTATGGTGACGTTTGTATGGTGGAGATATGTTATTGTTTGTCGTAAAGTCATTTATCTCTCAAGCTGCCAAGATATTGTTCTGCTGGTCGTCAGGGGAAAAAAACCTAAATTTAGTAATTTCTTTTCTCTGTATAACAGCTACGCACTCAATCATAATAAAATGTGGCGAACTATTAGGATTAAACGCTCATCGTTATCAATTGTGAAGTCGAAACAAAGTAATTATCGCCAGTCATAAAGGGTGATTATATTTTCCCCTGCAATTATCTCCACCCTCGTCGACGAAACGTCTGATCCGGAGCATTAAATTATAAATGTTTCGTCGGAACTCCCTATTGTTTGCAGTCCGCTTAGCGTATAAATTATACCCGCCACCTGCCGATGTCGCTTTTCGCATGCATTTTTCACGTCGATTTACCGCAGCACGCGATTCTATAAAATATAAAACCACTTTTTTTGTCATCAGTATTTTTGTGACTTTTAATCATCTTTACATGCGTCATACAACGATCTTTGCAGGTTTTTTCTGTCATGGATAAAGACAGTGCCCATCAAATGTTTGAAAGAAAGAAAAACAGACCTTTTATATAATTGTTATGCCGAAATCGTAACTTCACTCAACCAAACAAGAAAGTTCCCCAATACTTTTTTTTGTCTAACTCAAAAACTACTGAGCATCTTTTGCTCAAATAACAACTAATCAGTACAGAAATTCCTTAGCAATCTAGCCATACTCTTTATTAGGCCCAAAACAGTGATAATGCGTACGAATTCAATTTATCAAATATGATACCGAACAAAAATTTGCACTTTTGTATACGTACAAGTTGAGTGTGAACATTTCGTCTCTAATGTAATTCCCAACAAAAATGTCTTAAAATTGATTTCTTTAAAATAGAATTTCACTCTTTTCTTTACTGCATACTTTTCATGTTCCTCGAGGTTTAGTTAAAGGAAAGGGTGAAAACATGACCAACAAAACTTGAAATAATTTTTTTTAAAGTAATTTTTTGTTGGAAGATTGCGTTAGAGACCAATGTTCACACTCAACACTGCACATTTCGTCTCTAAGTCTAACGCAATCGTCCAACAAAAAATCCTTTAAATTAATTGAAAATTTTGTTAGTTTCTTCTGACCCTTTCGTTTAATGAACCTCGAAGAAAATGAAAAGTATACAGTCAGTAAAGGAAAGGGTGAAGAGATAATCGACAAAAATTTGAAATTAATTTTAAGAAATGTTTGTTGGAAAATTGCGTTAAATAAGACGAAATGTTCACACTCAACTTGCACGTATACACAAATGCAACTTTTTGTTCGGTATCATGTGTCATAAATATTGCATAATTGTGTACACATTATTACTATTTTGTGCCAAACAAAAAGGATGGCTGGATTGCTAAGGAATGTCTTCACTGATCAGTCGTTATTTGATCAATAGATGCTCAGTAGTTTTTGAGTTAGACAAAAAAGTATTACGGGGCTTTCTTTTTTGGTTGAACGTATATTCAACATATCGAGTACCCGAAGCGACCACAAGTTTCCGGAATAACGTAAAGGCCTACAATTTTGTTAGCTCCATCTGGACGGCGGGAGGTGAACATAGACCATTACCATGTCGCGGCCATCTTGATTGTTTCCCATTCAAACCAACGTAACCAAAGCGAGGCTGGAAGGCAAAAATAGTCTGGTTCCTTTTTGCACAAAAAGTATCATTCAGTACTATGATTGGATCCAGGGAACATGACTGAAATTGTGACAGCATGATAAGGGTCTATTGTGCCATGGGAATGCTTC